CTATTTATTTTATAGATTAAAAAAACACATCTATGTATTTTCAAGCTAAAGGTGATACACAATATAAACTGTATACTATTATTTTTTCAAAGACATGTTACATTTCAAAAGCATATATTGCTATGTTTAGGACAAACAATTAAAGACTGCATTAATTTAACAAATTCTACAATATAAAAGTGGCAGATTTGCTTTATTAAACAGGCCAGACCTAGGTTGCATACCAACACAATTAGGAACATGCTGACATCTTACTATGTTGGTCTGAAGCATTCATACACAATGGATAAAAACTGTGTTGTCTCATTCTATATCCTGTGAGAAAATTTAGCATAAAAAAATCGACATACTATTCCTAGCCTGAGGAAGATATGACATCTAACATTTTCATGTAGAATAAAGACAAAAGAGTGATTATACAAATTACATTTATTAAAATTTGAACCAGAAGATGAAGTCTCAAAGAATGTTTTAAATAAAAGGACATAAAACAAAAAGGTGGATAATAATAAAATCTATTAAATGTATATGTAAAGACATTTGGTCAAATGAAATGACACTGAGCAAGTGATAACAGCAATGCCAGTGTGGATGAAGCTTATAGTTTACATGATTACACAAATGATTTGTTTGCAGCTTTTATTTTTATTTTTGAAATTTATTTTATTTTGCTCAGTTTTTTTTTCTTTTAAACTCATAGTTTTGCTTTATTCTGAGAAAGTGTTGCTTTATCTTTATGATACAAAACTAATCCCATATGAATGCACCCTAATATCCCATCATTCAAGGGTGGTTTTCACTACGTTTTTTGTTTTTTTTGGACGGACAATATAATTTAATTTTTTTTACAATGTTCAATCTGAATTTACTTTAAAATAAAAACATCTATATTGATTCTGACACTTCTACATCCAACTCACAGATGTAACCTTGCTTTGAGAAATAAGATTATTAATTTACCCCTTTTAGAATATGGTCATTTGTTCTGGGAATGTCATTTTTGAGCCTGAAACCTGAAAAACAGGCTCAGGGCTAAACAGGTTAAAGAGCAACTTGCAGGTTAGAGACCCCAGTAAATAAATGTGTAGGAAAATGATATATACACTAGATTTTCAAAAAAATATACATAAATATACACTACAGCAGGGGTACTCAAACTGTTTTTGTTAAAGGTCCACTTGTGAATTTTATACAAGATCACTGGTCCGGATCAATGCCAGTGCCCCGAGTGGAGCAACGAAACTGAAATTAAGAAGCAGTTTTGGCGCTATGCATGGGGCCCCCATGTTTCCCGACATGTCGTTGCAGTAATTTAAAGGGTGTTTCATGTTGTCGTTGCTGTGGACCTTCTTAATCTACCTTCTTTGGGGGCCTTCTGGTCCAAGCACTTGCCTGCCTTGCCTGTTGGCAAACGGCGCCCCTGTATACACACACACATTCAATACATACATACAGTATGATGGCTTGAACTAGTGGGAGAAATGGCACTGTTTGTCTGTAGTCAATGCCTTGAACCTCTGCAAAAAAGGCATTAGAAGCATTAGAAAGTCAAGGTAAACTTGCGGTTAACTTGCGGTCTGCAATGCGTGTCACGCTCGCGCACACAAGTAAATATATATGCACGTTCATTCTAATTTACATCAGAATCAGAACGTTTTTATTTTTTAATTTGTTATAATGGGACACAGGGTTCGGTCCGGATTGATTTGCAGTTCGGTCCGGATCCGGACCTTGGTCCGGAGTTTGAGAAGCCCTGCACTACAGTGACATCTGGCGTCGTTTTTGTAAGACATTTTTACTTCCGCATAAAAAAAGACCACCCGCGTGTGACGTCACATGAGGGAGAGCGGCCGGTCTAACGTATTAATAAACATGGTTCACAATGCTAGTTTTGACACAGAAGAGGTTGAAAATGTATATTCGTATGCATATGACGGACCACAACCTTATAATTATGAGCCTGCTAAGCGTCCAAGAGACCAGGAGCAGCCAAGGATTAGAAGAAATAACGGCCATCGGAGAGAAATGGAGCTGTGGTGTGAGGAGAATCAGTGGAGAACAGGGCAGCTGTCTTGGTGAGTGACCGGCGTTAGCTACAGTTAATGTTAGCTAACGTCAGTCACATCACAACATTGTAAAGTTAGCTATCAGAGAGAGAGAGAGATGTAATACGGAAACCTACACAGGTCGTTAATGAGGCGGAGCTTTAGTGAGTTGAAGGTGGAATTGTCCGTTTCCCTCCTGTTGAGCTGGACATTCTGCCTAGAGATGGCAAATCCGGATCCTTTTACGGACTCAGGGTCTTCTGAGTCAGTCATTGAAGAGATCCGGATCATACGAGTCATTTGAGTCATATGAGTCATATGAGTCAGCATCACCAAGACTAGGGATGTCCCGATCCGATCACGTGATCGGGGATCGGAGCCGATCACGTGATTTTCACGTGATCGGGGATCGGGAGAAAAAAATCGGGGATCGGAATTCTTTTTTTTTTTTTTTTTTTTTTATAAAATATTTTTATACATTTTATTTAATGTTACAAAACAAAAATGACCATGTTCACGTCTTAAAGTCATCCTGAGGCCTTAGTTTTGGGTTAAAATTACACAACATCATGTATGTGTTGCTTCTTTTGGGCTTGTTTTCATAGACCTGGTTGCTTATTTCTCTCAAATCTGGCAACAGAGTGGGCGCAGTGTCTAATAGTAGCAGTAAGCTAACAAGAGGCTACGTTCAGCTGGTGACTCGGGAGTCGGGACAGAGAAAATGTCAGGAGTTTGGAAGTATTATAAAATTGAAAGCGAAGGCAGTGTAACAGCCAGATGCAATGTTTGCAAGGCGGAGGTTCCGCGTGGTGGAAAGAACAGAGCTACGTTCAACATGACCAATCTAATACAAACACCACCAACAACAACACGACGAGTACACAGCAGCCACTCAGGTAACGGCACTGAAACAACCGACACTTTCAGAGACTTTTAAAAGGAAAGAGAAACTACCCCAGAACAGTGAAAAGGCCAAAAAAATAACAGCCAAGATAGCTGAATTCATCGCGTTGGATGACCAGCCGTTATCTGTTACCTTTTTTTTCCTCTTAATGCATTGCATAAAGATCGGATCGGGAAAAATCGGTATCGGCAGATTGTCAAAATCAAATGATCGGAATCGGATCGGGAGCAAAAAAAGGTGATCGGGACATCCCTAACCAAGACCGTAGAAATCCTATCGGTGAAACCGAAAAGTTGATGCATTTCACGAGCATATTATTATTCCATATATTTTGAATATATATATATATATTTGTATATATATATATATATATATATATATATATAATATCTGCATGTATATTTTCTATTTCGACATGTATATTTTATATTTTATTTTTATTTCTATTCTTGTATATTTTGTAGTTTTGTTTTATTGTAAAATGCCTTTTATGCTGCTGTAACAACAATTTCCCAATTTGGGATCAATAAAGTACTATCTATCTATCTATCTATTAAACTGACGTTATATTAACCTCCGCTACACACAGTGTATTTTGCTTTAATAAAAAATGTTGATCACAAAAAAAAGGGTTATTTTGCGATTTGGCGAATCTGAGTCTGCTGTTGACTCGTGCATGAGGACGAGTCTGCTGGATCTCTGGATCTGCTGCTATATACGGCTCCGAGTCCGCACGAGTCTGATCCGCTGTGTGTTGCAGCGAGTCAGGATTTGCGAATCTGAGTCTGCTGTGGACTCGTGCATGACGACGAGTCTGCTGGATCTCTGGATCTGCTGCTATATGGTTACGGCTCCGAGTCCGCACGAGTCTGATCCGCTGTGTGTTGCAGGATTTGCGAATCTGCGAGTGAGTCTGCGAGCGAGTCTGCTCGTGCATAATATAGCGCGGGAGCCGGGTGCTGGAGGAGGGGCTATGCTCGTGCACATGACGAGTATGGAGGGCTGGATCTGCTATGCTATTACGGTTAGGAGCCGTCGGCTCCTCTGAGTCCCCACGAGTCTGCAGGAAGTTTCACTGATCCGCGTCCCCTCCCCTGAGCCAAACGATAACTTCTGGCAGCTATCCTGTATACTTGCTAAAGGGTAGGTAGATGGACTGGGGTACGTTGTAATGTGATTTTACATGTTATAAAGAGAGTAGCGAGTGACGCAATTTATAGTTTTAATTTGTACGTCACACCAAGTGTGGGACTCAAGGACTCGGGTTAATGGAGAGGGGAGACTCGTCACGACCAGCTCATTTCTAGGATCCGGGTTAATGATCCGGATGAATCAGGACTCGCCCATCTCTAATTCTGCCAGGTGTTTCCAGGTCCAACCTCATCCAGTACCTTCTGGAGCCTTGGGCCTGGGTCTGTCTAGGTTTGTAATAAAAGGAAAGAAAAACATTTTACTCATTGTAATCCATAAAATGAAAACGTTTTAAAGTATGTTATATTGTGACTATAATAATAAATATTTGAAATGTGTATAATATATGGAATATTTACTATGATAATGTTGATAATGTCTAGACTTCCAGGCGTACATTATTTAAAATATTTCTTATTTCTTATAACAGCACAAAATACTTCCACAGTTTTTCATATTTAGGGATTATATAAATACCAGTTTTACCAATTCCTATATATTCAATTGTTAATGTTCAACAATTAATAAAAAAAATGTTTACTGACCTGCATGGCTACAAGTGACAATGTTGTCGTTTGTAGTCCATCAGAGACCATCTGCAAGGTCAGTCCATCCCTCTGAAACAGCAGGCTGAGCTGCTTCAGCTCCTGAAGAATGTCCAACACCAAGTGAATGAACATCACCATCTTGTACTGTGTCAGGGACCGATGAATGGCACGTGCTCTCCCTTTCATTAAGGCACTAGCCTCCCTGTCATTCGGGTCACTAGCATGGTTCTCAAAGTGAACCAGGGAAGTTTTTCACCAAACCTTCAAGGGCCCTGGACATATGTGGAAGCCATCTTGTCCCATCAATGTTACCTGGTTTGACCACATGTATGCCCATAACTTTCCCAAGTGCATGGAGCTCACGGGAAGCTTTTGCAGAGTGGGAGTAGTGCTTGTAAACACCATTCAGTGTCTCCTTCAATTCAGCCAGCAGAGGCACTGATTTGATGCTGCCAAGCGCTGACAGCTCCAGTCTGTGAGCCACACACCAGATTGGTACAATTGAGGGACACATTTGTTTCAGCTTGGCTGCCACTCCATTGTGAACTCCCATCATCACAGATGCACCATCACAGCCGAAGCCAACCATCCGGGATTTCAAGTCTTGCTCAGTCAGGCCCACATTCCTCAAACCAACACGTATTGCATCAACGATGCCTTGCCTGTGGGCATGCTCCAATGAAACAATGTCCACAAATTGATTGACAGGTTTGCCATCTTCCACATATGTCAAGTAGACCATCTCCTGATCTTTCACGGAGCGGTCAACACTGGAATCGGACATGACAGAGAAGAAGTGTGTGTTTTTTAGTTTCTCCACCAGGTCATCCTTCATAGATTGACCTATGGCCTGGACAAAGGTGCGACAGGCATTGTCGTTCTTGTAAGTGTCACCAAGGTCCAGACCATTTTTGTGATGAAAGTCAACTAGGCTTGGAAACATGGTAAAGGGGGCTTCTTCTTTTGCCACAAAGTAAGCTATATTAAATAGCTTTGTCATCTTTTCTCTGACATTCTCTGACATCTTGTGTAGGACACAAGCCATGGGTGTTCTGCTTGGGTTTACTTTCGCAGCCTGAGCGCCTTCGCAGTCCGAATGTGATGTCGTTTTGCTGTGTTCGTGGAGTGTTTTTATCCGGATTTTGCCACCACCCACACCAACGAAAAGGTTGTTCCCTTTTGCAAGATTGGGAAAAGCACAACAGCTTTTGCAGAACATCATGCCTGTCTCTGCATCAAATTCAGCAAATGGGAAGGTTTTCTTCCACTCCGGCAACCATTTGCGTTTTCTTTTTGCCTCATATTTGTTTGAGCTCGAGGCATTTGAGGCAACCTGCAAATAGAAATGTAAAAGTTGAACAATAGAGTGTGCAGCCTACATTATACTCACATGGATTTACAGAAAATACATGCTGTGTCATAAAAACGTTTTTTTTTTAATTAGTATTGGTTTAGTTTGTTGTGTGTGTGTGTGTGTGTGTGTGTGGCAGCCGCGAGTGTGTAAACTGCCCCGCCCCCTCGCACACTACCCATCCCTAGTACATGGGGAGAGGCGCGCAGCATATTGCTAAGTACTAAATGCGATGGAGAGTTCTCATCTCAGCCTTATTACCCATAGGGGATGAAGAGGAGTAAGTAAATAAATAAGTGGTTAAAGTTAGTAACATGATCTGGGGCCTCATTTATAAAGGGATATACGCTCAAAAAATGGCGTACGCCAGTTTCTACGCAATGTTTGCGATTTATAAAATACTAACTTGACGGGAAAATGTGCGGTCCTCCACGCAAACTCTAACTCATGCGTACGCACTAAGCACAAAAACGGGAGAGACGAGAAACTGCGACACCGTTGGCAGAAGGAAGAATGGAGAGAAATATGCTACCTCTCATTTATCATATGAAGAATTCATTTTCAAACATTGATTAAAGCCAATCTTAAAATGATTAAACAAACGCCTGTTTGAGACTCCTCAGTGCACACAAAAACATAACTTGGAGAAATAAATAAATACGGATATGTTATTTAAAACCACCTCGAATATGTTGTGTTAATGTTATGAAATGTTTTCTCATAAATGATGCGGTAAGCAGGAGGACAGAATAACGTCTAAACTGACGCCGTTTTGCATTTCTAGGTTGTAGATACGAGCATGGTTTTATATACTATCACGTTTAATCGTGTTTTATGCCGTTTGCCAAGACTTGATAAGTCGCTCGTAAAACACAGGAGGTATGGAAACTAAGAACACCATATGTGGTAAATTGTACAGCTAATATAACACAACACATTAGTTGTATTTCCTTTAACTGGTGGATTATGGATATATAGTTGCTGATCGACAGCTGGAACACAAACCACCAAATACAACAAAATAATTCAGATCCAGTCGTCATGACTCCACTCCGGAGGGATTCCCCGATAATTTCTTACAGTTTCTCATCAAGGGGGTGTCTCCTGTCCCCGGGACAAACACACTGCCTGAGGAAGGTTATGTGTATTTTTCATTAACTTTTTTCGGACCACTTATTTATTTATTTTGGTGACGATCCGACCTCCATGCTGCTACTCTGGTTCAAACTGCATCCACCAAACAATATGATTTATCTCGACCTCCCCAAAATAACCAAAATCTGACACGGTGTGAGATGTCTTTTTTAGCTGTTCGGTCGTAATTTCCTGCGATCTTCTTCATGCAGTCAGTCAAAATGAATGGGCGTTTCTTTGACTATTTATAGGCAAATATGGGCGTTACGTGAATGCCTGCAAAAGCTGTGCCGCATTTCGAGTCGATTGTGATTTATAAAGGGAAACAGGCGTAGGAAGTGCCGGTACGCACTTCCCTCGCCGGTACGCAATGTTTTGTGAATCGGAAAATGTCGGACAATTTCTGTACCTATTTTTTTGCTTTGTACTACGTAAGCAACCTTCTCACGTCAATCCTACGCAAGGCGTTATAAATGAGGCCCCAGAGCTGTTTCTGAGTTTTGACTCGTAACGTTATCGTCATCTCACTCACTGTAAAACGGCTGCTGACTGGTTACAGTAGCTAGCGTTAACAATACATCAGTCTAACGTTAGTTAACTAACTGGTAACGTTAACATTAATACGAGCAAGCTTACCTCATTAACTTGGGTTGAATTCCCAGTTACAGCTGTGACTGTCCTTAGGTCAGAGGCCGGCGCTCCAGGGTCTGGTTCTGCTGTGCGTTTTCTCGATGTAACGGTAAGAAATTGCAGAATTCCTCCACGGGATGCCATTGTCATTGTACATCACTCAACCCGCGAAATACACACACTCAGTATGTAGCTAGACCTGCAAATTTGCAGGTCTAGCTACGTTCTGAGTATGTTTGAGCTCGAGGCATCACAGCCAGCTGTGCGGGTGGCTGACAGCCACATAAAAATGGAATTATGGATTATAAATAATTTTTTCAAAGGCACAGGTACATTATCAACCTATGGATCAACAGTTGTAGCATTTTTTTTTTCGTTTTAATGCCATTGAACACGTCTTTTTACCTAATTGACAGCTACGGTGAGACGATCTGCCGTAAAAGCTCCGTAAAGGTACGTGTTGTGATGTCTGTGTTTGCTTCCCCTGTCGCAAGTTCGGATCGCTCAGTGATGATACTATACCTAAATAATCTGTGGAGTCTCAGCTTTAATATATATTGGATATATTGTATGTGCATAAGTAATAAGGGTATCTTTATCTTGAATTGTGTGCCAAAGTCAGTTTGCATTTTTTCACTCAGGGGTCATTTAGACGCTTCTTATGAAGCGTCCAGTTGTGACGCGCCGAGGCTCCTTCAGCGTCATAAACGGACGCAAAGAGCTTTCAACTGATTGCAATGTATTCCCATCGGCGGCGGTATTTGACGCTTAGGGAAGCACAGCATTCGTTTGTGTCGGCAGCTCTTAAAGGCAATGTGAGCGTCCATTCCCATTGGATAACGGATAATTGTACACCCGGAAGTAAGTATTCTCCTTACTGTCGATTGATTTGACAGTGATATCTCCATTACTCATCAACTCAAAAACACCAGATTACCTTTGTTAATTAAACGACATTGATAGGTTTAAATTGTGTACAATGCTTTTGACAACTTGTTTTCTCTGAAATGTGGAGCGCCAAAGAGACTACACTACCCACAATCCCCAGCTATAGTTGTGACGACTTCTGTCCGCTTTGCGACAAAACCTCGTGATAAGTCAACAAGCTCTGTGATTGGATGAAACATAAATAGGTGATATCTGCACTACTCATGAACTCAAAAACACCAGATTATCCTTGTTAATGAAACAACATTGATAGGTTTTAGTGTACAATGCTTTTGTCACGTTTTCCCCTTCAATTCTGAGAAACAAGTAGTTTTCTATGAGTTTTGGATGGCCGAAGACACTACACTACCCACAATCCTCAGCTATCTTTGCGAGGCCAGGTCTCGAGGTCACGTAGTTCACGTAATACATCGCTCGGAACCTTGAGACACCAGCAAGGTAAGCTGTAATAAACTCGACTGCTCACTTAATTTTCGACAATATTCAAATATAACACAAATAAAATATTTGGGTTATGTATTCAAGTCCCACCCAGGCAGCAGGATTCGTAAGACAGTACGAGAAACTTAAAGAAAATGTAGTCTGTAACAGTTATTTTCTTTTTTGTAATAACGGCTCATTTAGAAGCTAGCATTAGCCACCGTTTGGCTAGCTAGCTGTGTTAGTACAATGTCGTAGTCATCAAAGGAGCTAGCACTGTTAGTTGTATCGCTCATCAAAACAAAGAGGACTCTCTGGAGCAAAAGTATTTGTAATTATTATTATTTATTTATTATTTATTACTTAGCGGGAGTGTTTTACGTGTTCGGTGTAATGACGTAAAATGGCCTGGACAACTTCTGTACTCCTATTCAGCCACATGTTAACAACCATCGTTTTTCAGACACGTAAACTCTTCAAAAATCACCAGCGGGGTCACTGCTGATGTATTTAATGTCTTAGAACAAAACGTGATCTGTCTCTTCAATTTGTGTCAAACACAGACCTTATTTGGAGCTATTTTCCAAAATCCTATGGATAAATTGCATTGCTTTTTGTCGAAGGAACCGGACGTGCTAAAAATGCTAACTTACTTCCGGGTTTTAGGACGCGTCACTGTGGTTGCTGGTCATTTGTTTTTTTTACCATAAGCTGTCATCAAGAAGGAATGCCATCATTTAATGTCATGATGTTTATATGTGAACAAATTACACAGTACATTAGAAGTCAGTACACATTAGCCTAATTATGAACAGAATGTTGTTCAATTTTGTTCAAAATGGAGTCACTTAGCATTGGCGTTTAAATGTTACATTCTATTATACAAAAACCCCACTTGTCATTTGTGTTTGAATATATTGAATATTCACATACATATGAATATATTAATTTGATTCAAACCATTGGAAGTTTGTGCACTATCTCAAGTATTCACAGCATATTAGACTGTATCTTCTATCTCTTGAAGTAAAAAGATATGATTCTACACTGTATTGAAGTAAACATGTATTATTTTGAATTGTATTTTAGTGAACATGTATTGTTTGAACTGTTTTAGGTAATCACAAACGGGTTTTGATAATCACTTAGAATAGGAATGTTATTCTTACTTTCAAACTCACTGACCCAGAAATTCTGTTTTCACAACACACACACTTGGCCTTTTCACCCCTAAAAACCAGATGTCGTCATTAAGGTCGTTAAAGACAACATTACATCGCTCCTTATCACCCCTAAGAACAGATGTTGTTTTTAAGTCGTTAAAGACATCGTTAAATAGGTGAAGAAAAGTTTAAATGTCTGAAAAGGGATGGTTTATGTGAAGAACTCATGGGAAAGGAATAGAGTTAAGATTCGAATCGGAGATAGAGGTTGACTTTTGACCTTGTGAAATTTAGGAA